AATCATCAGAAAGTACACTTTCAATTTTTCATCTAATAGTCCTTTGATTCCCTACAATGAAATGAGGGTCTAAATTTTTATCCCTGTACTTCAACACTACTTTTAGATTGTGTTTCACAAAATTTAAAATAAGTCTATAAACCTGTTATAGATGATTCATCAATTTTAAGATCACTTGATTGAACAACTAAACCATCAGCTTGTAAAAGATCACCTAAAAAAGAAGATTTTTATTAAAAACAAAAACAACTAATTGATAATCTATTATTCTTACCATATTTAATAAAACAAAGATCGCCAACAACAAGTTCTGCTACAGGTATTTGTTGTACTTTATTATCTCGTATAACAGATGTTTCTTGATCTTTGTCAATTTTATCTTGTAATCCACGAAATTGACGCTCTTTTCGCCAATCATTAAATGCAGTTACTAATACAACGACAACAACAGCAACAAGAATAGCTACACCTTCAATCCATTCAAGATTTGCTAAAATAAAATGAATTATTTATTTAGATTTAATAGAACTTTTTTCAAGTGATTTTTATAATATCATTCAGAAGATAAAATAAACTCAATTAGATCATCATATTTATTGTATTAATTTTCTACCAAAACAAAAAAGTAAAGAGCAAAAAAAAAATCATGTTTTTGTTATTCGATTTAAGTTCTTTAATAGATATTTTTATCAATGTATGCAAATATATAATCCTAACAGAATATAGATTTTTTTTCTTTATGTAAAGCTTAGTCAATATCAAATATATCAAAAACATGGCTTTATTATAATCATTGACGTTGATAAGATCTTATGCTCTCTTCAGTTTTATTATTGTCGTTAGTATTTTAGTTTTATTTGCAAACATTTATTTGCACGAGTAATACAATATGACGTTTGTAGATGATTTTTTTTTGTTAGTGTACTATAAAAAACTGTTGCCTACGAAACTTTTATTAATTATTTCGATGTCAACCTCGTACGAAAATTTTCAAGGAGAGTGAAGTTTTGGTGTACAAAGAGTGCATCGTATAATTCATGACGACAGGAAAGAAAAAGAACAGAGTAAAAAGTTTGTACTAACAATTTGTTATTAATAGCATCATTTGCTATGATTAATACATGTCTATTTTGGTAATCAAAAGGATCAATTGACACTCTCTTCTTCCGTCATCTATTTAGGTACAAGTTAAAAGATATCATGTTATTCAATGCTTACGTTCATCTTCTTTTCCTTCGCCTCCTCCTTCTCCTTGAGGTGCTTTATAAAATGATAGACCAATTGAAACAACAGCACATACTAATAATATAAGTAATAACAAATCATGAAGTGCATCCCAACATAATCTTAAAAATGATTTCATTGGTTTAGGTGGTATTTCATTTTTTCCATAAGCTATACGACGTTGTTCAAAATCTTGTTCATTATTTGAATCAAGACCTTTATTACCATCAACTTTTAATTTTTCTAATATTCCTTTAACACCATTATATTCAGATGTATTAAGTTTATCCATTAAATCTTTTCCTCGTACTTCCATAAGAGCTGTAAGTTGATCAAGTGTTATATCAAACATTGACGAATCACCACCACCTACAACAGCTGGATCAGCTGTTGGTTTTTTTTTGAACAGTGACATCTAAATAACAAAAAATTTTAGTTGATATTTGTTACACAACAAGAATAATTAAATGAAATGTTAAAAAAAAAATGAAATATTCTGTAAAGGAAACGAATTTATGTTCTATCATCAAGTTTGAACTAAATTCCCTTTTCTTATCGATTTGAATTCTTTTATTCAAAATGAAAAAGAAAAAGAAAAAACCTTCAAAAGAAACAAAAGATTACGTTTATTATTTACCAAGATTACGACTTTCTCGTCCTCTTTGACCTTTTCTACTAAATTCGTTGAAGATATCACGTGTTCAAATTGTCATATATCAACCTCTTAAACTTTCTTTTTCGTTTTCTTCAAGAGTAAATTTACTACTATACAAGATGCTTCATAAATAGGTAGTGCAAACAAAAAATTCACATCACACATGAAAATACAAAAGTCATTTCATCGTTCTTCTACTAATGATGTTTACCGACAACACGTGTGGGTGTTACTGGTTAGTAACAGTAGACCAAGTTAGAATACTATTATTTGAAACTAACTACAAGACAAATAAAAAATATCTGCTTCTTCTTAAACTATGAAGCAGTAGCATAGAAAGAGATTTGTCTTTTTTTTGTCTTTCTTTGTGTTCTACTTTTAGCTTAGTGATTGATGGAGATGACGAGAATCATGTATAGAAATGAGACGAAAGAACGAGAAAAACGTAACACATATGTCGAGTAAACAGGGAACAAACGTTGGTTATAATTATAATTTATTATTCAATAATTAATGAATAATAAGTTTTGTAAAAGCCTTCCATATATAATATTAGAGTTCTCTATGTCCTTTCCTGTATATATAATATCGATTTCTACTTGTGTTATATGGAAAATTTTGAGAATGTCGAAAATATATTTTTGTAGCTGAGGACGAGCCAATTGTATGAAAGAATAGTGTATGTTAATACTCGTGCTCTCATTTCTTTTCTCTCTCTTGCTCACTGTTTAATTGTTTTTTATCTTTCTGGTACGTTCGTTGTTAGTGATGATATTCCTGCTTTTCTGATTATATCTAAATACAGACATGAGTGTTATAACATGGTGAATGTGATGTTTATTATTATTCGAATACCATCTACCATATAAACCTGTCAATCATCATGATTTTTTTGTTGGTATTTATATCTCAGAACAATATCCAGACATAATATTAATTTCCTATCCTAGCTATTTTTTAATAGATTGTTCATAATTTGATGAGTTATTTTTAAAAAAAATTTCTTTTTTTTCTTAGACAAAAAAAAACAATAATCTACCTTTTTCTTTGGTTGTTTAACTTTAGTTTTTGGTGGTGAATCTAATAATGGTGTTTCTGCTTGTTTCGTATCGTCATCATCTTCCTGTAAACGTTTCGATGTTGATGAAGAATGATTTTTCTTTGAAGATTGGTCTTCTCGAACAGGTTTTTCTGTTGTCGTTTCCGCCCTTTGAATATGAAAAAAGAAGTTATTGAATATACTTTTTTTGTTAATAATTTTCTAAAGTATAGTTAAAATTTCTTTTTTTAGTTTGCATCAGTCATTAAGTACGAGTGACAATTTATTTAGATATAATATATATATTTACACTTTATTAAGAGTGTAAATTTACTTTATTTACTGTAACTTTATATCCCTCAGGGACATAGAAAATTCATGAAATTTTTTAATTCAATCAGTCTAGTTATGTTTTTATTTTATGACAATGATTTTTATGTTATACTACTTCTCTTTGTATATATAACTGTCACCAATTGATCATTATCTTCTTCTACATAAATAATGTATATGTAATAAAATATGACAGATATCTGTACAATTGTGGATAACATAAAACACTATCTTATCGAAAAGTATCGCCAAGTACAATTACTATTCGTTAGATTTTTAGTTATTTATATATTATTAGGTGAAAAATAAATTCACGAATTCTGTTGTATTAATTCAAACAAAAGAAGAACATCGATAAAAGTATTCTAAAGTAAAAAAAAGATATAACATTATGATATAATTATCGAAAATATTCTCTTTCTAAATATTTGTATGACATCTATAAAATATTTATAGAAGAATTCTTTTACATTTATTCAGATAAATAAACATAAATAGATATTAACTCTCAAGGTAAGTTGTATATGTCAAACTCGATAAGTGACATGTAATATGTAACCTGATGAGTATAAATGACTTCCTTTATTTATAAATTTTAAAATTCATATTTTTTTTTGTTTCAAAATAAATTTTAATTAGATTTTCTTTTATTTCAATAAGAATATTTATATAAAAGTGAGATGATATAAAAATAAACTTTATTATATTAATAGAAATAAATAAAATTTATTTGATATTGAATTCAAGACTATAGATATAGATTCGCTCAAAATTATTTTATCTGATTATAAAATACTTATTCACTATTATTTATACTAATTTCATAAGAGAGAATAATAGTAACAAAATTACATGTTGAATTCAAATGTTATTAATAAAATAACGTTGTGAAACACGAGCTAAAATGAGTATTAAAGTATATAGAGTAGAACTGTTAATATATAATCAAAGGCCGTCAATCAACAATGTCTCGTTATAACACGTGGTATAGATTAAATGGGATAATATCATTTTCTTTCTTGGGTCATTCCGACACACTTTCAGAAAGTCATTCAGTAGAGAATTTTGTGGTATCCACTTTTACGACCTTGCCACGCTTCCTAGTGTTATCGTTCGTGAGAAAAAAAAA